GATAAGGAGCCGGCTCGAGTCGTTCACTTCAAAGAGTCGGCTCTAAGAGCTGTTTCGTTCGCGACCGACACATCACTATTGTAATCCGTCTTTTTCTCATGTCACCCCTGATGTGCAAAACTTCTCTCACCAGCTCTCCTTCAAGAAAGATCCAATTACAATCCCATTATAAAGTGACGTGAGGCAATCTAGTCCCAGAATCTCCATTATGAACGGACACTTAATGAAACATTGAGAAGCAGTTAAAGGTGCGAGTGTGTGTGAATCTATTTGTGTGTGTGTGTGTGTGTGTGTGTGTAAATGAGAGCCATAGCAGCAGTGCATGAGAAGAGGTCTCACACGAACAATGCTGCAATGACATGACTGCATCCACAGTGAAACCAAAACATTACAGCGTTACACCTTCTGCTGTAAATAACTGATTTTAAAGACTAGCAGACTTGTATGGTTAAATCTTTTGCACCTGATGACGTAATGTAGCAATATGCTTATACAATATTTTTTAGCTCCTACTTTCACTTCCAACCCTACAGAGAGGTGAGAAGCCACCAAGCGCTCATTTGGATTCAAGCTTACATTCAGATCTTGGCCTGGAAAGCACAGGAAGCAGCCAAACGGAGACCAGGCCAGTGTGTGTGTGTGAGAGAGAGAGGGGTTGAGGGAATAGAATCGGGAAAGGTATATACACACATTCTTAGACACACACACACACACAAAAATGCTGGATGTTAAACAAATGCTCCTTGAAACAGAGTTGACACAACAAAATGCAAATGGCTACTGTTTAAAATTGACGCATTTATTCACACACTCGAGCATAAACACACACACACACACACACACACTGTACAGTACCAGTCAGTGCTTACATGTAGTTCCTTTCCCTACTTTTTCATGCTAACTGGTACAAATAGCCGTTACTAGTGCTAAATGCTATCAATGTACTCTCACAGTTATCTAACTGTACAAATGCATACAAAATAACACTCACGTAAACATAACTGTGCACTAGTTTGCCCTCACTGCTGCAGTTTGTTGCAAATCAGTTTGAATAAAGCTCGGCTTCTCTCAAACTCTCTCATTCTCTCTCTCACTCACACACACACACAGATATATACACTACAAGGCACACTTAAAATCCTTTAATTTTCTCAGAAATCGTCAGTGCGTGTTTGTATGAATTGTGGTTGTGCTTACTGACCTCGAACCGATTTTAAGTGGTAAACGGCGCTCAAAGATCTGTCAAAAATGTTTCAGTACGACTTTGGTAAGCTACGAAGCCCACCGCTTGATGGATTGTCGGAGCATTATGGCTACCGTAGTCAGAAGCCTAGCGGACTTGGAGTAATCTGGGTCCAAAACTTCGTTGCTTAAGGTCCCAAAGTCAAACGAACACTGGAGCACACTGAGAGTTAAAAACTGTCTAAATTCTTTCATCTTTAATAAAATGATCAGCGTTGCTGCTTTACCAGGTGTAACAATTACGTTTAACATCCAGGCATCCATGAAAACAGAATTTATTAAATTTAACAGAGTTAGAAGTTAGCAGGAAGTTAGCTCGCTAGTTTCGCTATTTACCTAAACATGATATAGCATGTTCTGACTGAGAGATTTCTGAAAAAAATAAAACGTACAGCTCTGCTATCACTTCCAACATAAATGAAGACAGAAAACTAAACAGCAGTGACGTTTGTAGGGTTACTGAAGTTGGACTAGCTGGTATATAATGCTGTGCTATGTGATCGCTAGTGACACAGCTATGTTAGCATAACACAGTGAAAACACAGCTGTTTCTATGCGTTTGGGCCTTTCGTCCACACGTAAATGGCGTTTCGAATCACTGAAAACTGAGATTTTTAAAACTCCTTTTTTGCGTTTACGTGTGGACGAGGAATACAGAGTTCGTCACGCAACGTCAAAGGTATGTGCCTTTTTTCACATCACGCAGTGCGCTACGTTATTGTTTACATGAGATGAATTGCAGAATGGCAGATAGAGACAAAATCCTGTTACTGTTAATCTGACTATCTGCAGTTTTTACACGCTTATTTATACACATGCAGTTGCTGTCCCTCCATTTAGAAAGGCAGAGGCGTCACGGTGTAATTATTTCACATGTAGTTGTTTTTTTCCTGTGTAATAAC